GCAGCTCTCTCTCTCCTGCTGAGGACTCGGGGTATTTTAGGCTGTGCAGTCAGGAGGCTGCGAGGGGATTGGCCAGTGATCAGGGCATGACTGAACTGTGTGGCTGGCGGGCTGCTGATGTCACAGTGAGTCAGTGAGCCCCAGGGGTATATGTGAGAAGTTCAGCCATCTTGTTCCACAGGTGGGGCTTCTCCCAGACAGGAAGTGACACACTGTTCTGGCTGAGTGAACCAGAACACATGGCGGTGGTCTGGAGAATTTAGAATCTAAGAATGCTTTAAGAACTGTGCTGACCCAGTGCCAGAACAGGCTTTCACATGGGTAGATACTGAAAATGGGACATTATTTTCTGTCTATTGCTTTCCTTGGCTTGTTGTTAGGAACAACATTGGCTTCAATCAAGCACTGGCAACCTACCACATGAGCATTTAGAAAAGTACTGTATTTTGATATGTAACGCGCGTGAGGGAAAAGGTTGAGATTCACACACAATGGGTGTTAACTTCTATTTCAGTGGAAGGTGATAACTCTGCAAAGAGCCAACAGAAGGGCAAGATGACAAGCTTTGAGAAATGTCCCCTTGCTCATTTGTTCCAGCTTAAGCATTTACACACCCACACGCGCTCACACACGCACGCGCTGTCTCTCCAAAACACCCGATCCGACTAGGAGCATTCCTAAACGTGCAGTTCTGTACATGGCTGGGATAGTTGAGAGATCCCTGACATGCTTGGCACCTTGTACAGATTTGCAGTTGACAAAATTGATGTATTAGTGGTTAGACCATTTGTGACCCCATTTCTAAATGAGGGCCATAAAACCTCCCCCCAGCCCACCGTCACCCCGGCCCCCACAGGTGTCCCAGTCCTTTGGGGCCTGTTGTGTTATGTAGGCCAGCCCTGGAGCAGCCAAGGCACTCAGAGCAGAGGCAGGGACAGACAGACCGATGAACCGAGTGTGGGGGGCGTATTGGCAGAGTGGGGGTTCTCAGTAAGCAACAAAACAGTCCAATGGATAGGACCCATTATATTTCCAGTCTGTAGGGAGAGACGGAGAAGTGGGGAGAGAGAGAGAGAGTAAATGCTAGAGTGTGTGTACAAGAGAGTGGAGAAGAGAGAGGGAGAAAAAGAGAGAGAAGAATGACTGTGCTGATCCGGGGTAAACTGAGCCAGTTGAGGGGGCTGTTGCTGGACGGCCGTACGGATGGACAGCAGAGGGACGTGTGTGGATGTAATCTGGCCATCAGTCAGGCAGAGAGATCGAGCTCCAGGGAGGCCCATGGGGGGGTTCAGCAGTAATCCACAAAACAGCTGTGTGGAAAAGGGGCTTGGGAGACTGGCGCACTCTCATGGCCTGTCACATCCCCTGACCTCCACAACATCAACAGTCTGGAGAGTTCCCCAACTTCTAAAACAACTTTCTAGTCTCCTAGCTTCTAAAACAGCCTGTCCACTCCCCTGTCTTCTAAAATTGACTCTAAAACAGCTTTTCAATCCCCTAGCTTCTAAAACTGTCTTTAAAACAGCCTCTCCAGTCCACTGTCTTCTAAAACTGTCTTTAAAACAGCCTCTCCAGTCCACTGTCTTCTAAAACTGATTCTAAAACATTATTTCTGTTCCCTAGCTTCTAAAACTGACTCTAGATTATCTTAATAGGCCCATGCTCCCTAAAATTAGTGTGGAATCCCTCTCAGAACATACATCTTAGCAGAGAAATGTGGAACAAGACCAAGTAAAATAAAACAAGTAACATGTTACTCTTGCATAATACCTGATGCAACTTTGTCTCTGTCTTTTCAGTCTGTTTTCTGGCAGTATACCTCGAGTCACGTCTATCAGTCTGGGAGGTTTTATCTTCCTGGGTGCTTATGAGAAGGTCCGACGCACCCTGCTATAAAGACCCTGTCCCTGGCCTGGGGAAAGTGGAGGGCAGGTGGGAGTGGGCCGTCCTGGGAGGGCCCTGTACTGTGCTATCCCAGCCTGAACCGGCCCCGAGGGACACCTGGTGCGAGTCATCCCTGATCGCATTACCCAGAGGTCTGCATTCCTGCTCATCATTGCGCTTCAGATTGAGTTTAACTGCGTAAATTTTTTAACAGCAAGGATCGCTTTCAAAATAATCGTATATCTCTGAGCCAGAGTATCTTCACTGTATGACCATCTGTGATTGGAAATGGTATTAAAAGCCATATTTTTATACTATGAAAGTCTTTGTGATTATTTTTGTTCAGCATCACCGCTTTCTCCAAACGGTGAAGTTCATTGTCTAAAGCTGGGTAGTTAAATGGTAGAATAATCACCTCACAGTAGTTGGTCCATCCAAGGTTACTGCTCTCTGTTATTCAGTATGGAGATACAGTGAACAAAACCACTGCATTGAAGAGCCACCAGGGAGCCATTCAGACATACTGTACCTCACCTCAGCAAGCCTATTAAAGAAGCATCATGAGCTCATCTCAGTGCTAGATGGGACCTTAGACCTAGGGCCTGTTTCTGGTGGATTAAACACTAATTTACTACAGGATTTGTCACCACATTAATGCAGATGTATGGACAAACATTAATGGACTTTAGCCAACTTCCATCGACGGGGTAGTATTAAACGTATACAATTTAATTGACCACCTGTTTTTCCTAGTATTAAAAACAGGAGATCCTGAATAGATGAACTTTTACTCTCTAATGCCTTGGTGAACATGGAGTATTGAGCAAGCATCAAAATGTTTCTCTGAATATAAAATTGGTTTTCCAAAAACAGGTACATTTAATACTGGGGCCATGTTTTGTGAATAACTCCCATTGTGTCCTTCAGATGTCGGTTGAGGGGGAAGGTAAAGACCATTAAAGCCTGGGAGAGAGAGATGAATGTTACACAGGTGGGAGTGTTCGTCACACAGCCTGTCACTAAGGGGAACAATGTCATGCATTTGGTTGGTGCACCAGAGGGCCAAGTTCTGTCCTGGAGGCTGTCAGTCAACTGACGGACGTCCATCTGGAATGTACATTCTGTCCAGCCACTGTCCCTCATTCAATATGGACTTACTGTCATTCGCCAGGCTTAGAATTAACCCTGGCTTTAGAGATGGACCTCCTATGTATTTACATAGAGGCAAAAGCAACATTAATGAGTTCTCTATACTTTTGACAAACCTGCTAATTCCAGTAGTCAACCAATAATTTTGCTTTGCCTGGCCCACTTACTACCTAACGAGAGACATTATTGAACCACACAGGCAAGGAAAAACACACTCCACAAAATGTGATTTTATTAGACACTTTAATGTTTAAGCTTTGACATTGGTACAATGATTCAGACCGTTTATTTCAATAAATTACTGCACGTCACCCCCGTGTCCATTCATGGATATAGTGGGACGATATTATAAAGACAACTTCTAACTGACCATCTATAATTCCTGCTCTCTAAAGAATATGCTCAGATATGTCAAACAATGAGCCTTTTTTGATACCGTAAATAGCAAAACAAGTGTTTACAGAAAATTAGCCTATAAAACGGCTAAACATATGCATACATTGGAAAATGTAATTCTGTTTAATCTGACATTCAGTGTCTGGGTTTGTCAGCCCAGTGTATCCAGGCCTTATAGACTGGACATTTTTCCTAGGTTTGGCAAGAGTACATTTCACAAGTTTCCCAGCAGTAAGCAGTTTTACAAAATGAAGAGATTCCGTTTGTACCGGTCAATAGTTTCTGAATGATTAAACATGTTGTACCAGTACCATAAATTATTATTTTCAGTATTATTATGATGATGATGTGTGGTGCTATGACAAGGGCTAAATACTGGCCATTCCCTGTGTGAACAAACAACAGTGAGACAGAGACACACATGACAGGAGTAAAACAGTATGACAACTGTCTCAAAATGCCCTCCTGGTGAGAGTTTCTCATTCCCTTACAGCATGGCAGGTTCATGGTATAGCTCAACATATTGGGATGGGAGGGGGGATAACAAATGATTTTAGGAGTTGGACCAACATTCATTACAAATGTGTATTCAAAGGATCTGGGCCTTTAGTTGGACAAATAAAAAATAATGAAAATAAATGGAGCTGAGGCACCGTGGAGGATGTAGTCCCTAAACCAAAGCCAACTGAAGTACAGCAGCTTGTTGGTGGTTAGTACCTTGACAGACAGGTGGAAGAGCCTTGACATTCCATGGCTGTCAGAAATGTGAACATTTCCTGACTAAGAATTCTTACATTCCTATTGGGTTACATGTACTGATGAGTAGTACAAAAGTGCTTAAACATCCAAAACCTAATTTCATATCCCAAACATCCCCTTGTTCCATGTTGTACCCAAATAAATAAAAATCAAAGCCCTTCCTTCATAAAATACCAGTAAATATGAGTTATGGTTTAAGGCCATGACGGGGCAGCGTTTGCGTTTGTCAAACAACATTCAAGTGCAATAACGTGTTCCATGGTATGACAGAGTGTACGATAGCTCTCACAAATCTCTGCTATACTAAGAGTCCGGTTTGTGGTTTCTTTGATCATGCAATAAGGCACCGCAGTTGAAGCAGGTAGGTAGTGGCTGACAAGGCTTGTTAAAGACAAAAAATACCATCACTCCGTTCTTTGTCATGCACAGAATAAATTCAAATACTCTTTGTAAAAGTTATATAATATATATGAAAACTCTTATGTACAGTCAATTGTCCAATGGTATAGCTCTCTCTCTCTTTCACACATTAATGTACAATATTACCTACATTTGCATGCTTCAAATGCAAGTCCCATTTAGGAGCTAAGATTGGTTGGCACCTCCCAGGGGAAGGTTAAGTATGTACAGCTGATACGCTCAGATGGGACATCACCCACACAAGCTCCGCCTTCAAAACTCCAGACGCCCCCTCCCTGCTCCTGCCTCGTTAGTCCAAACAGGGGACAGGATCAGATCTTGGCCTCTCTGTTTGAGGTAGCAGTTCCCAGTGCAAAGAACAAGTCCACTCAGGGCTAGTGAGTCTGTTAGTGTCAGGGCGGGGAGAGCCTGCTAGTCACTGGCTCTCCTGAGGGAGGTGTGTGACTCTGGGAGGCTCTATTAGAGAGTAGAGTCTGTCTGAGCTCTGGCTCACAGTCTGTGTCCAGTGTGTATTGGCTTGTTACGGGGCCGAGTTTCACCGGCTTGTGGAAGGCCTCCTCTTGGGATAGGGAGCACACTAACGTTGTCTGTCCCGTCCTGTTCACTGAGGAACCTGGGAGGGAACAGAGAGAGAAGAGAACGCCACATCCAGTTATAGAACACAAACTAATCAAGACCTCTATCTGTACAGAGCTCAAGGCTATGGGCTATGGATTGCATCCATATTGCTACGTTGACATTATGAAGAAGGATCGGCATTCTGACCCAAATTCCTCTCAGACTGTTCCTTGCCAAAAGGTACAGCATCCCAGGACAAGACCCGACCTGTTCCCCTGTGAGTCAATGCTGCTTTTCATCAAATTCCCTTCACTGTAATTTGTCATGGCAGGGTGATCTACACAGCTAAGGGCTCCATCCACAACAGATTTTTTACCATTCCCCATCCTGTCCTCAACAGTGTGGAATAGGAAGATCACTCTACCTTTTCTGTCATTGTGGTTTCTCTGTGATGACAATACGTTGTGGTTGCTGGGAAACGCAGGTGGCTGGGCGTCCCTTTTGACTCCATTGGAGGCGGTGTAGGGTCCCGTGTCCATCACTAAGGGTACAGGTACGCTGTAGTCCATGTGGTGGGGTTGGGGATGTTGTTTGTACTCCAGGCCTACAGGTCCCATCCCCTGGGGGAGGTAATCGGAGTCTGACTTGAAGTAGCTGTTCCCATTCTCCATACACTCCGAACACACTACAGCCTCATTGTAACCTACACCAGCACAAAGACAGAGAGAACATAACATTTCTTAAAGACACCTACCCTTTTCCACAATTTCATGAATTTAGAGGAGACGTAAAGCAAACATTTAGTGATGTTAGATACAAAATAACATCCTTGAGCGGTACAGCAGTTCAGTCATTGGTGAGTATTGGAGGTTCATATAGAAACCAAACTGAAGACTGTACCTGTGTTGTCTATGTGTCTGTTGGGCTGAGGTCCACCACCTGCCTCCACACGGATACACACGTCCTGGCGCTCCGAGAGGGTCCCCTGGGAGGACAGGTAGCTGGGGACGTCCGGGAGCACGTTGGTCTCATCTGGGAGGGGAGGGAAACCATCAGCACCAGCACAAACTACGGCCAACATTGCGGTGAACAGCCAATCCCTGTGATTAGTAGAACTGCATGAACGCCCTCTCACCCGTGTTGGTGACGCTGCACTCCTCACTCTTCTTGCGCGTCTGGTAGATGATGCACACCCACACCAGCGAGGTCACCACGATGCTAGTCACCACGGCGATGACAATGATGCCCACTGTGACGGTGCTGGGGCCGGGCGGCGCAGCACAGGCAGTGTGGCGCTGGCGGACACTCAGCTGGCTGTGGGCGCGCTCTGTGCCCAGCCTGTTGGACATGACGCACGTGTACCTCCCAGCGTCCTCTAAGGCGGCGCTGCCGATGACCAGCAGCTGGTTGCCGGGGGTGAAGTGGTGTCGGTCGGAGGGGCGGAATGGCTGGTCGTTCCTCAGCCAGGTGATTTTAGGTAGGGGGCTGCCTAGGGCCTTACACTGCAGGACTACAGTCTCCCCCACCACCACACTACGGTCCTCCAGCTCCTGGGCCAGTTGGGGCGTCTCTGTAGACGGGAAGGGTCACAGGTCAGTGTAGTCATCCCACCAGAGCAGACTGGTCAATCCCAACATTTCATGTGAAACTACACAATGACTACTGGTGATGGTCCATTATGCTTTGTTCAACACAGAGTGATGTAGAACACCATGATCTCACTCTGTCTACTCTACCTCTTCAGACTGGGCCTCAGCTCTGAGCTTTCTTTCCTCATTCATGACTAAACATTACAAAGCCACTCCTGAGGGCTGTTGCTACCTCGTGTCCCTGGGAGGAGTTGTTCTGGACTAAAAGCACTACATTAGGTAGAATAGACCAAGCCCTTACACATCCACAGTACTTGACATTATGTGATCTCATCAAATTCACATATCAACTGTAGCCCAAGCCCTTACACGTCCAATAAAAGCCCCTCTAGGAGAATGGAGGCCTGCGGTCCCAGAGGTCACAGCTCTCCCTCCCACCCTGAGAGGAGAGGGGTGAGAACGGTTAACAAAAACCCCTCTGTGAAGTTCCCCTATCCCGCCCTCCCCCATCTGACCCCTACCCTGACCTCTGACTTAGAGGAAGGCCACAGCTGCCAGAAGCATTTCATTCTAGGACCAAGGCTCAACAGTTCACAACTGGCTTTAGAGCGGTTTACTAACTGTTCATTTTTAGTATCTATATTATGGTCATCTGAAGTCAAGCCATGAATCCTCAAACATTGAGGGCTATGTGTTAGTTTGGTGTCCTGCACTGAAGCATTATGTAGGAAGCATGGAGGAATGCTAACTGGCCAGATGAATGTGATGGTATGTACAGGGGGGGAGGCTGGTGGGAGGCGCTCTAGAAATAATAATAATTGTGAACCAACACTCGCGCTTGACTTTTTTCCCCCCTTACTAGCTTTGACTTTGTACTTACTATGACTGTGATATGTGGTTGTCCCACCTAGCCATCTTGTGGTCCTCTGTAGCTCAGCTGGTAGAGCACGGCTGTAACGCCAAGGTAGTGGGTTCGATCCCCGGGACCACCCATACACAAAAAATGTATGCACGCATGACTGTAAGTCGCTTTGGATAAAAGCGTCTGCTAAATGGCATATTATATTATTATTATATTATTATATTAAGGTGAATGCACCAACTGTAAGTCGCTCTGGATAAGAGCGTCTGCTAAATGACTAAAATGTAAACGTATAAGCGGATGGGCTCATTGTAATGGAATATTTGGAACGGAGTCGAACATGTGGTATCCATATGTTTGATACTGTTCCATTTATTCCATTCCAGCCATTACAATGAGCCCATCCTCCTATACATTTACATTTGAGTCATACATTTGAGTCCTGCTATAGCTCCTCCCACCAGCCTCCTCTACTAGAGGTTGTCAGTAGGTGTGGGGCATGGCCAGTAGTGATGGGGGAAAAAAATCTATACAGATACATATCGCAATATTAATTTGGCCAATATTATATAGATACTTTGACTCAAAGTATTGTTTTTTTTCTTGCTAGGTAGCATTAGTCGGCTTGTTCTCCATCTTCTTTTTAAATAGTGAGCCAACATGTTTTCAACACTTTTATTTCCATGACTGATCAAAACTAGTTCTCATGCACTCTCGTCTCTCTGCAGCAGAGAGCAATATGTTTGGAACATCCAATCGCAATAAAATCGCAGTATCGAATTGCAATACATATAGAATGGTGAGAATCGCAATACATATCGCATCAGCACCTAAGTATGGTGATAATATCGTATTGTGAGGTCCCTGGCATTTCCCAGCCCTAGTGACCAGCATTCAGTCTTACCCAGCACGGTGAGGGTGGCGTTGGCAGACACGGCGCCCGCTGTGTTTTTGGCGGTGCAGCTGTACACGCCCATGTCCTCCGGCTTGACGCCCATGATGAAGAACACGTCATCGTCCGGCATCACGTGCATCCGCCGCTCGCGCGCCGCCGGGAAGTCCGTGCCCCCGTCCTTCTGCCAGGCAATCTGGGGGGTGGGGTGCCCCTCCGCAGCACACTCTAGCTTGGCAGTGGTGCCTGTACGGATGGTGTTGTCTTGAGGGGTTTTCACAAACGTAGGCAAGACTGTGGGAAAGGAAGATATGAGACACTGGGTTAGCCACAACAGAGAAGTACAGAGGTTAACACAAGAGTCTCTGTTTTACAACCCCCCCTCACTGTTGGACTGGATTAGGGAGAGGGTTTGATTTGGGTGGGCAGGGCAGACAATCACTCAGCATCTGTTGGCCAAACTGACAGGGCGTGTAATAGATGGCCACTGTCAGCTCCACGACACGCCTAAATCAATTTGTTCCAAATTCCACCCAGAGAGACTCACACACAGGGCGATGCAGAGAGACAAAGAGAGATACTATGTTCAAGCTAAGAATTACCACTAATCTCTTACCACTAGAATAACTCACTTATTGAGTTTAACTAGGCAAAATATCTACTAAATCAGCATATTACAGTGAGAAAATGATCCCACCGCACGCATGCACACAAACATTCCCAATTTCTATCTATATAAACCAGTCATACTGGGAGACAGTTAACCCTTCAGGGCCTGGTGGCGTACCGTTGACAGTGAGGCGGGCCTTGGTAGAGTAGGAGGAGCCAAAGTGGTTGGTGATGATGCACTGGTATCGGCCCTCGTGGGCAAAGGTCACATGACGCAGGTGCAAAATGGTGGTGTATTCCATCACCCCCCTGGCCTCATGCACCCCCCCGTGGTGAGCGCGCATGTGGGCGAAGTTCTCCACCTCTGCATGGCGGAGCAGCTCCTGGTCTTTGCGCCAGGCGAAGGTCATAGGTGAGCTGCTGCTGCTGGCCGCCGTGCACGTGAGGCGCATGTCACTACCCAGAACCGTCACTGTGGTCTCTGGCTGCACCGTAATCTGGGGCTTAGGCAGGTCGTCTACAGGAGAGAGGCGGTGAGAGGAGAGAGACGGAGAGACGACAAACTTCCATAAGCATTATTCTTTGTAACCAAATGTTTTCTCTCAGTGACAGAAGATATGTATACTATGCATACACACAAACAAACAAGGAAGGATTAGCACATCACTGAACCTAAATCAAAACATTTGAACAAAATCTCACACACACATAAACAAATAAACACATATACTGTAAACAACCCCGAGCTGGAATTTAAAACACCATCTGGTCTTAGCTGCTGCCTGCGCGGTCTGACAGAAAGCAAGCATACTGCCCTAACACACACACACACATTACTCACCACAGACAAAGCTTTCTGGCGGAGCCTGGAAGATGCTGGTACCCTTCAGGGTTTCGGGATGTGCACAGGTAGCCTCTACGCCTGTCTGTAGCCTCCGGGTCAACAGCCACTCAGGGAACCAGTGGAGCTGACAGTCACACAGGAAACTGGCACTCTGGATGAGCCTGGGAGAGGGGAGAGGAGAAGAGGGGAGAGGAGGAGAGAGGCAGGGTGGGGAGAGGAGAGGAGGGGCGGGGAGAGGAGAGGAGGGGCGGGGCGGGGCGGGGAGAGGACTGAAGAGTTTGTCATTCTCCTTTAAAGACTTACTTTGATCTGAACTGCAGCAGTATGGTGTAGCCATATCATATCATTGTGAAGAAAATCACATTTTCCAAAGACTAAGTGTGAGGTGTGTGTGTATCGTGTGTGTGTGTATAGATATATATATATATATATATATATATGTGTGTGTTCATCATTGCAGACTCACAGGTTCCTGAGGCTCCTCATCTTGCTGAAGGCCTCTGGCTGAATAGAGCGGATGGCGTTCTCTCCCAGATTCCTGTTGAGACATTAAACAGAGGGCCGCCCGTCAGCACTGACATAAAGGGGACACGGGAACGCACACGCATGCGCATGCACACACACACACACACACAGCGGTGTCACGGCCAGCAAGGGCTTACTTTAGATTCAGGCGTGTAAGACCAATGATACTCTCCAGCTTTTTAATCACTTTTTTTTCTTAACGGTCAGAGTCTGTGAAAGAACTTATAAATTCAATTTCTTGTACCAAACTGACCATATGCTCAATAACTTTGTTCCCTTGCACCAGGGAAAAAAGACCAAAGTTAAAGCTGCCTCTAACGAGAGGGAAGCAGCTTGCCCCACAAACTGCCCGTCTTCTCCTTTAACAAAGACACTATTTAATTTCTAGCAGCCCTCTCAGGCAGCTACTTTTGGCAGCCACTCTTGGGGGCGCGCAGTGCATTGTGGGATACTCACAGGTGCTCCAGGGCCTCCAGGCCTAAGAAGGCTTTCTTGGCCACCGACTTGATCTTGTTTCCAAACAGAGTTCTGCAATTTCCACACATGAAGGGCGCCGATAAACGTGAGAGAGAGAGAGAGAGAGAGAGAGAGAGAGAGAGAGAGAGAGAGAGAGAGAGAGAGAGAGAGAGAGAGAGAGAGAGAGAGAGAGAGAGAGAGAGAGAGAGAGAGAAGAGAGACGAGAAGAGAGAGAGAGAGAGAGCGAGAGAGAGAGAGAGAGAGAGAGAGAGAGAGAGAGAGAGAGAAGAGAGAGAGGAGAGGAGAGAGAGAGAGAGGAGAGAGAGAGAGAGAGAGAGAGAGAAAGAAAGAAAGAGCGTGAAAAAGAAAGAAAGAAAGAGCGTGAAAAAGAAAGAAAGAAAGAGCGTGAAAGAGTGAGCGAGGAGGGAATGGACAAAAAAACATATAGAGAGAGAGGAGGAAGGGGAAGGAGGAGAATGCACAGTTAGAGGGGTTGAATCTGATAAGACCAGAGGATTGAGGTATTGGAAATACGAACTGTGTGGAGATTAGGAGGGTGAGGGACTCAGGGCCCGCCCTCTCCCGGCCTGCTCTTCAAAGACCACTTTTATCTTTATTAGAATTTAATAGCGATGACAGGGTGGGGCTGAGAGCCAGGGGGCCACATGAAAAGCAGGTTGTCTCACTGAGGGACAACACAGCTTGTAGAGTAATAAAAGTAGCCTTGTCAAGGCCGGGTTCAAGTAAGGAACAAGCAGCTCTGGGGGTCTAATCCCAGCCGCTCTTCAAAAGACACCCCTCTACCCTCCCTCCTTCTCCTCCCCTTCTGTCCGTCCCTTCATCCTTCCTCTCATCTCTCTCTGCCTTCCTTCCCAGGAGGAGCGGATGGACACAGTCGGCTGGTTTAGAGTTAAGACCCCTGCATCGGAACATTTCAATCCTGTCACGCCTCCTCCACTCTACTCTCTCCCCTTCTATATCGATCCACTGAAAATCTACACAGTAAAATGTAAATACAAACCATGTTTCAAAAACCATTGGGCGTCTGCTTGGTTATCATTACATTTGGGGGAGATAAGCTAACACTAAGACGCATGTTGATAAGAGGTATTGATCACAGGCGTTCTGTAAGAAAGCCTCTGTGTTTAGGGGGCCCGGGGCAGATGACTGGTCATGGAGAGGACCTGTCAGCTCCTGGCAGAGATGTCACTCACTACTGACCCCAGATCAGCCAGAGCCCTATGTTTCTAGACTCTACAGGGGGAGACGGGCTGCACAGCAGGCTTCATCACAGAGAACCATTACTCTCTGGAAGTTACTGCACTTCCATCCAACGTATTTAGCATATTTAAATAAATATTTCTAAATCATTCTTATTTCCACCATCACATTGCACATCTAGCAGTCTACATTGCCTTTCATTCCAATCACATTGTCTTCATAGAGTAATCACATTTTGGAAAAAATGTATACAATGCTATAATGATCTAACTAACATTTCTTCACTCAATATATTAATTTATTTTTCCACCTCAAACAGCAATGGGGAAATTGGTTTTTTTGTGACCACTTGTGAGTGCACAAGTTCACCCAGACCATTCTCCCATCACAATCCGATTTGGAGGGACCCAAAGCGTGTGGAGGACACTTTAATGTCCCTCCCCCTCTCTCTCTGTTTTTCCCAGGGTTGGGGAGTGTTGTTTTCCGGCGGGATGGAAGGATTGTGCCAGCGCTGGGCCAATTTCACCCTCTTTCAGTCCCTAACAACAGGCAGGAAGGCATGGCCGTGGAGCAGAGAGAGAGGAGCAGGGCTAGAGAGACAGAGCTGCTGAGGCTCATCTCCTGCAGGTGAATAGAAAAGCCCTTTCAATAGGATAGCACTCACACAGGGAACAGCCTTGGTTGGACACCATCTTTTATCCCAGGATTGTTTAGGCCCCAGTATGTTCATTGTGGTATGGTTTAATGGTTATACGAGAGATCACAACACATTGACATCGTTTAACCGTCAAGGCAGTTCAATTCCCACCAACAGACAATCTGAACTTGGACACAATTGCAGTTGAGAGTCTGGTAAACCAAATGAAAACCAGATTCAGGCTTGTTTCAAGTTTAAAGCCAGTTGCCGTTAAAATATGAACCTGCATGCTTCATGAAAAACCCTAATAAAACTCAGAGCAGCACTTAGTCATCTCTCAGTGTTACACTTCCAAATTACGTGTGGGGCCCAGAGGGAAGGGAGAGATGGAGCTGGTCCTGTCTGAAGCCAGGTCTGGGAGAACTAGATATAGACTATAGGCAGGCGACAGGCCTCAGAGGAAACTATTTGATTGCAGTGGAAAACCCTTCACGCTGGACTGAAGGAGCTGTTCACAGATCTGCAGACAATCACCAACCAGTGGCAGGGCAGCCAGCTTAAAGGGGCCGGTTCTGGGGAGAGGGGGATGGAGGAAAGGGGGGGGTGGATACTCACAGCTTGTTGAGGCTGTCCAGTCCAGAGAAGGCCCCATTGGTGTCCTCTATTGTGCCTGAGATGTCGTTATGGTCCAGCTCCCTGTGGAGAGAGAGAGAAAAGAAGGGATAAGAGGAGGAGGAGAGGGAGGAGGAGGAGAGCAGAACAGGCCTGCCAGTTGGAGCACTGTGTAGCCTTGGCAGAGATGGGGCTGGAAGTCACTGGTTACCCCTCTAACCCCCCTGCACCTGGTCTAAAGAGCAAGCCTCTCTGCTGATCTGCTCTGCCAGCCAAGCACATTCTTTCCTTTGTGAGGAGGAATGGGTAAGGTACACAACCCAACACAGGCACACATGTATAATTCATGACAGCATGGAGGGATTGGCGGGCACACAATGCCTTTGGATTCAGGTCCGGCAGTGTGGTGGCAGGTATGTCAGTCCCAGCACAGACTCAGAGCCTAATGAGTGAAGAAAGACCTTATCCATATCAAGCCAGAATGAGAGTCAATAAAATAACGTCTTTCACTTTGAGTCTGCCGGGAAATTTCTAAACGCATTTTGAATGCAGTGGAGACTGCTGAGGGGAGGACGGTTCACAATAATGGCAGGAACGGCGATTAGAAACATGGCACCGGAGGAGATGGCTGATGTTTTACGGGCTCCTAACCAATTGTGCTATTGTGTGAGTTTTTTCGCGTTATTTGTAACTTATTTTGTACATAAAGTTTCTGCCACCGTCTCTTATGACCGAAAAGAGCTTCTGGATATCAGGACAGCGATTACTCACCTCGTACTGGACGAAGATTTTTTCTTTAACGAGTCGGACACTAAGGATTTTCTTCAGACACCCGACAAGGCCCAAATCCCTGTCATTCGCATGAGAAAGAGACGGCGATACCGGGGACGTAGGTAGGGGTGCCTTGTAAGGATCCGACAGCGAGTGGGGAATCATTGGAAAACAAATTAGACTAACTACGATCACGGATATCCTACCAACGGGACATTAAAAACTGTAATATCTTATGTTTCACCGAGTCGTGGCTGAATGACGACATGGATAACATACAGCTGGCGGGATATACACTGCATCGGCAAGATAGAACAGCTGCCTCCAGGTAAGACAAGGGGTGGCGGTCTGTGTATATCTGTAAACAACGACTGCTGCACGAAATCTAATATTAAGGAAGTCTCAAGGTTTTGCTCGCCTGAGGTAGAGTATCTCATGATAAGCTGTAGACCATACTATTTACCAAGATAGACAGCTATGAAATATATAGATGAAAACTATTTACCACCACAAACCGATACTGGCACTAAGACCGCACTCAATGAGCTGTATAAGGCCATAAGCAAACAGGAAAACGCTCATCCAGAGGCAGCGCTCCTAGTGGCTAGGGACTTTAATGCAGAGAAACTTAAATCCGTTTTACCTAATTTCTACCAGCATGTTAAATGTGCAACCAGAGAAAAACATTTAATAAAATAAAAAAACTCTAGACCACCTTCACTCCACACACAGAGACTCGTACAAAGCTCTCCCTCGCCCTCCATTTGGCAAATCTGACCATAACTCCATCCTCCTGACTCCTGCTTACAAGCAAAAACTAAAGCAGGAAGCACCAGTGACTCGGTCAATAAAGAAGTGGTCAGATGATGCAGATGCTAAGCTACAGGACTGTTTTTCTATCACAGACTGGAATATGTTCTGGGATTCTTCCGATGGCATTGAGGAGTACACCACATCAGTCACTGGCTTCATCAATAAGTGCATCGATGACGTCATCCCCACAGTGACCATATGTACATACCCCAACCAGAAGTCATGGATTACAGGCAACATCCGCACTGAGCTAAAGGGTAGAGCTGCCGCTTTCAAGGCTTGGGACACTAACCCCGACGCTTATAAGAAATCCCGCTATGCCCTCCAACGAACCATCAAACAGGCAAAGCGTCAATACAGGACTAAGATTGAAATCGTACTACACCGGCTCCGACGCTCGTCTGATGTGGCAGGGCTTGCAAACTATTACAGACTACAAAGGGAAGCACGGCTGCGAGCTGCCCAGTGACACAAGCCTACCAGACGAGCTAAATTACTTCTATGCTCGCTTCGAGGCAAGCAACACTGAAGCATGCACGAGAGCATCAGGTGTTCTGGACGACTGTGTGATCACGCTCTCCGTAGCCGATGTGAGTAAGACCTTTAAACAGGTTAACATTCACAAGGCCGCAGGGCCAGATGGATTACCAGGACGTGTACTCCAAGCATGCGCTGACCAACTGGCAAGTGTCTTCACTGACATTTTCAACCTGCCCCTGACTGAGTCTGTAATGCCAACATGTTTCAAGCAGACCACCATAGTCCCTGTGCCCAAGAACACTAAGGTAACCTGCCTAAATGACTACCGACCCATAGCACTCACGTCTGTAGCCATGAAGTGCTTTGAAAGGCTGGTAAAGGCTCATATCAACACCATTATTCCAGAAACCCTAGACCCACTCCAATTTGCATACAGCCCCAACAGATCCACAGATGATACAATCTCTATTGCACTCCACACTTTCCTTTCCCACCTGGACAAAAGGAACACCTATGTGAGAATGCTATTCATTGACTACAGCTCAGCGTTCAACACCATAGTGCCCTCAAAGCTCATCACTAAGCTAAGGATCCTGGGACTAAACACCTCCCTCTGCAACTGGATCCTGGACATCCTGACGGGCCGCCCCCAGGTGGTAAGGGTAGGTAACAACACATATGCCACGCTGATTCTCAACATGGGGGCCCCTCAGGGGTGCGTGCTCAGTCCCCTCCTGTACTCCCTGTTCACCCAGGATAACAACCTCTCCCTTAACGTGATCAAGACAAAGGAGATGATTGTGGACTACAGGAAAAAGAGGACCAAGCACGCCCACATTCTCATCGACAGGGCTGTAGTGGAGCAGGCTGAGAGCTTCAAGTTCCTTGGTGTCCACATCACCAACAAACTATCATGCTCCAAACACACCAAGACAGTCGTGAAGAGGGCACGACAAAGCCTATTCCCCTTCAGGAGACTGAAAAGATTTGGCATGGGTCCTCAGATCCTCAAAAAGTTATACAGCTGCACCATCAAGAGCATCCTGACTGGTTGCATCACTGTCTGTTATGGCAACTGCTCTGCCTCCGACCGCAAGGCACTACAGAGGGTAGTGCGTACAGCCCAGTACATCACTGGGGCCAAGCTCCCTGCCATCCAGGACCTCTATACCAGGCGGTGTCTGAGGAAGGCCCTAAAAATTGTCAAAGACTCCAGCCACCCTAGTCATAGACTGTTCTCTCTGCTACAGCACGGCAAGCGGTACCGGAGCGCCAAGTGTAGGTCCAAACGGCTTCTATCCCGAAGCCATAAGACTCCTGAACAGCTAATCAAATGGCTACCCGGACTATTTGCATTGTTCCCCCCCCACCCCCTCTTTTACGCTGCTGCTACTCTCTGTTTATTATCTATGCATAGTCACTTTAATAACTCTACCTACATGTACATTTTACCTTAATTACCTTGACTAACCTGTTACCCCGCACATTGACTCTGTACCGGTACCCCCTGTATATACAGTTGAAGTCTGAAGTTTACATACACTTAGGTTGGAGTCATTAAAACTCGTTTTTTCAACCACTCCACAAATTTCTTGTTAACAAACTATAGTTTTGGCAAGTCGGTTAGGACATCTACAATTGTTTACAGACAGATTATTTCACTTATAATTCACTGTATCACAATTCCAGTGGGTCAGATGTTTACATACACCAAGTTGACTGTGCATTTAAACAGCTTGGAAAATTCCAGAAAATGATGTCATGGCTTTAGAAGCTTCTGATAGGCTAATTGACATCATTTGAGTCAATTGGAGGTGTACCTGTGGATGTATTTCAAGGCCTACCTTCAAACTCAGTGCCTCTTTGCTTGACATCATGGGAAAATCTAAAGAAATCAGCCAAGACCTCAGAAAGAAAATTGTAGACCACCAAAAGTCTGGTTCATCCTTGGGAGCAATTTCCAAACGCCTGAAGGAACCACGTTCATCTGTACAAACAATAGTACGCAAGAATAAACACCATGGGACCACGCAGTCGTCATACCGCTCAGGAAGGAGACGCGTTCTGTCTCCTAGAGATGAACGTACCTTGGTGCGAAAAGTGCAAATCAATCCCAGAACAACTGCAAAGGACCTTGTGAAGATGCTGGAGGAATCAGGTACAAAGTATCTATATCCACAGTAAAACGAGTCCTATATCGACATAACCTGAAAGGCCGCTCAGCAAGGAAGAAGCCAATGCTCCAAAACCGCCATAAAAAAGCCAGACTACGGTTTGCAACAGCACATGGGGACAAAGATTGTACTTTTTGGAGAAATGTCCTCTGGACTGATTAAACAAAAATAGAACTGTTTGGCCATAATGACCATCGTTATGTTTAGAGGAAAAAGGGGGTAATTGCAAGCCGAAGAACACCATCCCAACCGTGAAGCACGGGGGTGGCAGCATCATGCTGAAGGGGTGCTTTGCTGCAGGAGGGACTGGTGCACTTCACAAAATAGATGGCATCATGAGGAAGGAAAATTATGTGGATATATTGAAGCAATATCTCAAGACATCAGTCAGGAAGTTGAAGCTTGGTCGCAAATGGGTCTTCCAAATGGACAATGACCCCAAGCATACTTCCAAAGTTGTGGCAAAATGGCTTAAGGACAACAAAGTCAAGGTATTGGAGTGGCCATCACAAAGCCCTGACCTCAATTCTTTAGAAAATGTGTGGGCAGAACTGAAAAAGCGTGTGCGAGCAAGGAGGCCTACAAACCTGACTCAGTTACACCAGCTCTGTCAGGAGGAATGGGCCAAAATTCACCCAACTTATTGTGGGAAGCTTGTGGAAGGCTACCCGAAACGTTTGACCCAAGTTAAACAATTTAAAGGCAATGCTACCAAATACTAATTGAGTGTATGCAAACTTCTGACCCACTGAGAATGTGATGAAAGAAATAAAAGCTGAAATAAATCATTCTCTCTACTATTATTCTGACATTTCACATTCTTAAAATAAAGTGGTGATCTTAACTGACCTAAGACAGGGAATTTATACTAGGATTAAATGTCAGGAATTGTGAAAAACTGAGTTTAAATGTATTTGGCTAAGTTATATGTAAACTTCCGACTGCAACTGTAGCCTTGCTAATGTTATTTTACTGCTGCTCTTTAATTATTTGTTATTTTTATGTTGTTATCTATTTTTTACTTAACCCTTATTTTTCTTAAAACTGCATTGTTGGTTAAGGGCTTGTAAGTATGCATTTCACTGTAAGGTCTACACCTGTTGTATTCAGCGCATGTGACAAATACAATTTGATTTGATTTGATTCTAATGGCATCAAACATGGAAACCATGTGGTTGATGTATTTGATACCATTCCACTGATTTCGCTCCAGCCATTACCACAAGCCCATCTTCCCCAATTAAGGTGCCACCAACCACCTCTGGTTGAATACAATTAATTAGCTATTCTGACACACTACTTCTAACTCAGGGTTTTTACTTGATCAAAATGCAGCTTAGGTGGTGGGCGTGGCGGGAGCATTGCCAACGGTGTGGTCGTCGATCTAGAGTACCTCCTGTTGTCCGCAGTGAAAACGTTTAGCTTTTTTAAATTCTACACATTTTGCCATGTGGCGGAGATAAAATCTTGCAGTTTTAAAGCAAATTTCCTGCAATTCTACACATTTTGCTTTGACTTATGCTATCTGATTGACTCAAGCATCTCAAGCATAATCTTATTTTAAAAAATATATAGGTCCATTATAATTTTTTTACATACTTTATATTGAATTTAAAACTGAAAACTTTTTTCCATCCTGAACCCCCCACCCCCAGAAAAAGGAGGCACAAAAAAACACTTATTTGGCCCACCAAATAGAACACTTATTTGGCCCAGAAAAAACACTTAACTGCTTAAGTCATCTGGGCAAAGGAACCATTTGAATAATCATTTAAAACAAAAACAACAGCACAACAAAGACACGAGTCGCCGCTCTATCCCACGCTTTGTTCCCCGTGCCGTTAAAATACATTCATTCAAACTCTGAAAACCCTGTGAGTCTGATGGTCACCCACACCCCCTCAATCCTTCCCTCACCCCCTTTGGTTCCTTTTGGTTACTTTGCCTCCAAGGCCGGACTCAGCTGCCAATTTCCTATTCTTTCTGGCTGGCTGAGTGTGAATGGCCGTTGCCTTGTTAATGTAAGCAGTGGCGGGGGCCAGGGGCCGCGGGCCCCTGAGGACTGAACCCCCGGCTGAAAGTCTGGCCTTCTCTGGGCTTTCACACCCACCGCAGCCTCTAGCCCCATGCCACTACGGCCAGCAGTGCTGATCAATTAAACCTGCCTCCGCTCCCTTACAGCTTGGGCCTGCGCCTACCCAGCGCTTCACTGATTAGATTAGACCTGCCTCAGAGAGAGAGAGAAGGGAGGAAAGAGAGGGAAGGAGAGCGAGGAAGAAAGGGGTGAGCATAAAGTGAATAGGACGTAAAAAGAAAATTAGAAAGCAAAAAGAGAGGAAACGGGAGAGCGGAACAAAGCAAACAAGTAAGAAAGAAAAGAAGGCCAAGGAAGAAAGGAAGAAAGAAAGAAAGAGCGGGTGAGAGAGGGGAGCCAAACAGAGGGCCTCTCACACAGCTGAACCCCCTCCCCCCAGCCCAACGCTCCCCCTGTGCCAGCGGAGAAAGGCCTATATACGCCTTGGCTTGTCACCTCCCTGTGAGAAAGGCCTTGTCTCCAAAGCAAAGGTCTTACTCTTTTCTCTGGCTCTCTGGGAAGATCCCGGGCCAAAAAGACATTAGGAGAAGGACCCACCCCCCAGCCTCCCTCTTCCTCTATTTCTGACTGTTCAAGGTGTGTTCATAAGGGTGTGGGGGGAGAGAAGTCTCCCGTACTGCTTTTCACTGCTCCGTTTAAAAAGGCAAAGAATCTCCAGGGAGGCAGAGGACAGGGAACACATGTGCATCCAACATCGAGGGGAACCAATGACCAAACAGAGAGGGAAGACGAGAACAGACCCACCAAAATAAAAGTTCTCACAGAATGAAACCATGACAATAGTGACGCATGCACACCTCGTAAACAGATACACATGAATATGCATGAATACAAACTAGATCTGTTTTAAAGCAATGGTCTGAAAAGCAAACAGCTAACTCCACTTTCTAAATGGCCCCAGAGGGGCTTAATAAAGCCGTATTGAATTCTGTTTTTCCTGTGTTTTATATCATATTGTACAACAGCTGATGAAACTAGAACTGTAAAAGTGTGAAAACATTTGATCAGTGTTATTTCCTGATAGTTGCTGGTTGAAAATACAAATCTACACAAGGACTTCTAATCAGCAGGTTTGCATGGGCGGGAGTTTAGGCTTTCCATGGTAAATTGGTTAATAGACAAAGAGAGTTCCAAACCTCTCTGCCAACAATAGCTATGTTTCAGTTTTCCCCTCCCCACTCAGACCACTCCCAGACAGTCTTAGCTAAAGTCTTGCTTGAGATATATTTTTTGTTGTTGCTAAAAAGCAAATTTTTGACAATTTTAATGGCAATCTATTACAGTAAGGTACTTAATTGTTACCCAGAAATATAAAAACGTCTGCATTGGGCCTTTCAATTAGTCACTTAGGATGAGTCTACAGTATGGAACCATAGTTGTGTGTGTTCAGGAGGACTTACAGGAGGCGCACGGCCTTGAGGCCTCTGAAGGCCCCCTCAGTGATGTGGCTGATGGAGTTGTGTCCCAGACGGAGAGTGTGGAGGTCCCCCAGCACCGCCAGACTGCCCTCGTCCAGACGACTCAGGTTGTTATAGGACAGATTCCTGCAGGAGGAAATGAGATAGAAATACATACGGTGTCAGGCTTGGACCAGAAGGACAAGATGGCACAGCACTAAGGTAACCTAACCTACCTGAAACTTAATTATTCTCTATTTTATATGGCTTTATTCAATGTCTTCATGCCTCTGGATGGATGCTGTATTTTTCCACTCAATATCATACACAGCAGTTTCCTATCATGCTTGATAAGGAATCAGGACACAAACCATTTACAAATTGTGTACATTTCCAGTTGGACAAATGGACACTTCTCGGATGTCTTTCCTAGAGTTATGGTTTTGTTTAAGTAGGTACACTGTGCATCAGTGGTGATAAATATGTATTGTTTATCAGTATGCATGATCAAAGGGTCTGTTATGCGAGTGGCTGGGCTGTGCCTCTCTGAAGGGGGCTAGGGTGGTCATGTGTGGCCACTGGCCAGTCTCTGTGATGCCCCGTCAGGCAGGCTGCCGTCTCATCCGGAATGTAATAACAGGCAGGTCAGAAGGACAGCCTCTCTGCTACACCTGAGGGCTAACCAAGACACTATCCCACTTATATCACAGTCACCATGGACCAGCTAATAAAATCATATAAACCCGGACTCGCACTGAGTCGCAACACAGATACACAGAGCAATCTGTCTCCCTCACATACACAATGACACAGTGCACAGACACAGGAGCCTAACAGGCAGCCGTACAGTTAGCGACACCTGAGCAGAGCTGAGCTATGCAGTAGTGCAGTACAGTGGTGTAAACAGAGTCTCTCTCCTTCATTAGAGGGAGATCCCTCTGCAATTACCCCAGTATCCCTACCAACAGAGGGTTACACACTCTCTACCAACCTGACAGAGATGTGAATACACACTCTTGAGAGGGCTTAAGTACTGTCAATCCTACCACTCATTATGGGATAAACAGGCTCATAGTGAGAGGAGCGTGTGGTATTGAGCGTTAAGTGAGTCATGTAGCTTTCGTGAAGGTACAAAGAGGGGAGGGGCGGAGCGGGGAACAGATTCAGGGTTAGGTTCTTAGGGTTGTGGTTGGGGATAAACAAGAAGAGACAGGGGGTTGGAAGTTGGAGGCTGGGGTAAGACTGGGGTACATAGCTGGAGGCTAGGGGATGCATATTTTAGTTTGTTTCTCAGGGGTTGAGGATGAGGCAAGAATTGGTGCTATAGTTACAAGTGTTATGAGGTTTTTGGTGCTTTGGTTTACAGGGGTTGGGAGGTTTCTGATGTGCTACTCACAGTTCTCGTAGCCTCTGGCAGAATCTCCAGCCATCTGGGTTGATGTGGGAGATGGAGTTGTTGCTGAGGAAGAGCTGCAGCAGAGCGGACAGGCCATACAGGGAGCCACTGTTCACCTCCCTCAGGCTGTTGTAGTCCAGGTGACTGCAGGGGAGGAGGTCACAGACAGGTTCAGACTAGGCATCATGGGTAATGTAGTTTGGTATGACACAGGAGATTGGACATTACATGTTGTCTAATCGTGGTTCATAGTTTTGCTCAATGTTAATGGACAATAATAGAGCATAGAGTTGCTTGTGAAACAATTGTTAAGAGCAGAAAGTAATACGAGTGGAGTAGGAGAAAGTGATCCTACAACGGTTCTTGAGGACAGACAGTCAAGTGATCCAACTGATCTAGAGTCAGTCCTCAAGACCAGGCAGGGAGTTGGGGAATTGGGAGCAGTATGTTTCTGTTACTCACAGCACTTTCATCTTGGCCAGGCCCCAGAAGGCTCCGTCGGTGAGCTTGCTGATGTTGTTCCTCTGCAGCTTGAGGACCTCCAGACTGGCCAGGCCCTGGAAGGTCAGCCCCTCCACCTGCCTCACACGGTTCCTGTTCAGCTCACTGGAGGACATGACAACACAACCCAGCAAGGAGTTAGAGAGAGATGCAATGATGAGCAGAGAGAGAGAGAGAGACAGAGACAGAGACAGAGACAGAGACAGAGACAGAGAGAGAGACAGAGACAGAGACAGAGAGATAGAGAGAGAGACAGAGAGACAGAGAGACAGAGAGAGAGAGAGAGAGAGAGAGAGAGAGAGAGAGAGAGAGAGAGACAGAGACAAGTATGGTCCTACAGGAAAAACCTGTGAAGTAATACTGTAACACATCTTAGCAGCGCCATTCGGCCCCACAAAAACATACGTGGCATTACACGGTGGTATCTATTCCACCTGCAGCCAGGGATGTGTACCCCTAATGGCTGAGGTGAAGTTTGGGTTACAGACCAGGGTCAAGTTATGACCTGGGCAACACAACACGTGATCACAAACCTTCATTAATCATGCTAGGGTTAACTAAAGGAGCAAACTCATCAAATACATTCAAACAGCACTGGATTGCAGCCCCATATGCTTTGAAGGGCATCTGCATTCACTTCTGAAACTGAGAAGGCTACTTCTGTCCAGAGCGTACTGTATACAGCTAACCTCTCAGTGTAGCCTACTTCTTAAGAGTAAACTCACAGGGACAAGCAAAGGTAAAAAGACAAATGACCCCACAAGATAAAAAACCCTTTTACCTTCTGTATCAAAAGAGTTCTCAGATAGCTTTGTACCAGTGGATCTGTGCACCTGGCGTGTGTGAGGTTTAACATCACAGCCCAGGAGCATAGCTGAACAATAAACATCCACACAACGTCTTTGTGTGTCCTCCATGTTGCCACAAGCATCCGCATATACAGTGTCACCGGGGCCACCTGTTGAACAATACCCACCTGGGGAATCTGGGAGGGCTGGGGAGAGAAGGGAGCCCTGTCTACAATGGAGGAGAGTATCGTTACATGTGTCTTTTCTCCCCAGAGTGGGAGTGTTGAGGTAAGGATGGGTCTGCCCTAGCCCCATGCTGCAGTGGAGGGGGGAGACAATGACAGAGAGCAGGGCTCAGAGAGGACAGAGGCCATAACTCAGCCATGGTATCGGTCTGATGTTTACCAATGCTGCTACCCTGGAGGGGAGAGGTTCACACACTCCTCAACAAATGGGACGGTGTCAAAGGAGTCAGCCTCTTTAGGTTTTGTCCAACTTTCCAATGTTCTTTTCCCTCCAACGTCTGTGTGGTCATGGACTATGGGTACTGTACACTGTGTCTTTAACAACTGGCCCAGGGTCAGTTTGGTTGTTTCTCTCATGATGGTTGAGGATAGGATAGGAGGCGAGTAGGGAGACTAAACAAACATGAGCCTAAGTGAGCTGAGAGGTGTCTGGAGGTGGTATGGAACAGTACTCACAGTTGGGTCAACTTGGGGAGCTGGAAGCTTTTGACAGGGACCTGGGAGATGCGGTTCCGACTCAGTCTGAGAACCTGCAGGGACGAAGAGAGCCGGTCCAGAGCACCGGCCTCCAGGAGCTGGATCTTGTTGTTGCTCAGGTACCTGGAAGACAGCATAGCACACTGTCATGGCTCCTCAATGGACAGTAACAAGACATACATTGATAACATTGGCACAACATTTACAATTAGATGAGAAATGTAGGAAGAATGTTTGACATAAGAGGAAAAGGGCTGATCTTACAGGTCTTTGATCTGGAGGCCTGCGGGAAAACCTTGACCTCTGACTTCTGTGATGTCATTACTGCTCAGGTCCAGTGTTTCCACGGAGACTAGGTCTCTCATCCGCCTTCCATCGATGGTGCGGATCTTATTATGGTGTCTGAAAATAAAACACCACAACAACCAACTCTGTTAGGAGAAAACTTCAGGGGCAAAGATGAAGGAAAACCTGAGGAGAGAAACAACAGGAGAACAACACACCTCCTAGTCTTCTCCAAACCAAATTTAGACGTTTGTTTTAGAAGCAGCAGTAAAGCACACACAAACGCTCTTCTTTTCCAAACGCACTCATGAACAAAGAGAGAGTACACAGAGCCAAGTATCCCTGCTTCAGGAGCAAACATGTACTTCAAGAGCCTACAAACAAACCCTCTCCAAACCCTCCCAAGGACACCTGCTGACTGACACCAACAGCCAAGGCATGGGACATTCTGGATTGATGAGCCCATTGTTCTCTAAGAGCACTTAGATAAAGCAAAGTTGAGCAACGTTTTAGCCACTTGAGTGTGATGATCCATAGAGGTCAACAGACTGATGCTTGGGCTCAAGTAGAGGTGATCAACAGATACCAATCCCAACCCTGAGCTCCACAGTGTCTTACTACAACAAACATAGATCCAAGTAAAGCTTCCTCAGAAACGGTCTTATTCGTGACTATGATGTTTGTGGTTTGTTAATAGAGTACCAGAGTATGAGTCACAATACCCCTAAAACCTAGCGGTCAAACAGGGAAATGGTTCCAATCGTCTTTCCGCAATTCATTTTTCACATAGGGGATTTTAAAATAGGGCTGCGTTTCATATAGACTTACCCTGGTGTGACGTTTTTATAACCATGTAAATCTCTCTAGGACAAAGTGACTTTTATCAATACTTTTTACACATTTTGTTACATTACAGCGTTATCTAAAATGGATCAAATTGTTTTTCCCCCCCTCAATCTACACACAGTACCCCATAATGACAAAGCAAAAATTGGTTTTTAGAAATGTTTGCTAATTGTTTTTAAATAAAAAACTGAAATATGACATTTACATACACTACCAGTCAAAAGTTTGGACACACATTCTCATTCAAGGGATTTCTTTTATTTGTACATTGTAGAATGATAGTGAAGACATCAAAACTATGAAATAACACATATGGAGTCATGTAGTAACCAAAAAAGTGTTAAACAAATCAAAATATATTTTATATTTGAGATTCTTCAAATAGCCACCCTTTGCCTTGATGACAGCTTTGCACACTCTTGGCATTCTCTCAACCAGCTTCACCTGGAATGCTTTTCCAACAGTCTCGAAGGAGTTCCCACATATGCTTAGCACTTGTTGGCTGCTTTTCCTTAAGTCTGCCGTCTGACTCATCCCAAACCATCTCAATTGGGTTGAGGTCGGGGATTGTGGAGGCCAGGCCATCTGATGCAGCACTCCATCACTCCTTCTTGGTAAAATAGCCCTTACACAGCCTGGAGGTGTGTTGGGTCATTGTCCTGTTTGAAAAACAAAAGATAGTCCCACTAAGCCTAAACCAGATGGGATGGCATATCACTGCAGAATGCTGTGGTAGCCATGCTGGTTAAGTGTGCCTTGAATTCTAAATAAATCACAGACCGTGTCACCAGCAAAGCACCCCCACACCATAACACCTCCTCCTCCATGCTTTACATGGGAACTACACATGCGGAGATCATCCGTTCACCCACACCGCGTCACAAAGACGCAGCGGTTGTACAGACCTTTACTCAGTACTTTGTTGAAGCACCTTTGGCAGCGATTACAGCCTCAAGTCTTCCTGGGTATGATGCTACAAGTTTGGCACACCTGTATTTGGGGAGTTTCTCTCATTTTTCTCTGCAGATCCTCTCAAGCTGTGTCAGGATGCACAACTATTTTCAGGTCTCTCCAGAGATGTTAGATCGGGATCAAGTCCGGATTCTGGCTGGGCCACTCAAGGACATTCAGAGACTTGTCCCGAAGCCACTTCTGCGTTGTCTTGGCTGTGTGCTTAGGGTCGTTGTCCTGTTGGAAGGTGAAACTTCGCCCCAGTCTGAGGTCCTGAGTGCTCTGGAGCAGGTTTTCATCAAGGATCTCTCTGTACTTTGCTCCGTTCATCTTTCCCTCGATCCTGACTAGTCTCCCAGTCCCTGCCTCTGAAAAACATCCCCACACCATGATGCTGCCACCACCATTCTTCACCGTAGGGATGGTGCCAGGTATCCTCCAGATGTGACGCTTGGCATTCAGGCCAAAGAGTTCAATCTTAGTTTCATCAGACCAGATAATCTTGTTTCTCATGGTCTGAGAGTCCTTTAGATGCCTTTTGGCAAACTCCAAGCGGGCTGTCATGTGCCTTTTACTGAGGAGTGGCTTCCGTCTGGCCACTCTACCATAAAGGCCTGATTGGTGGAGTGCTGCAGAGATGGTTGTCCTTCTGGAAGGTTTTCCCATCTCCACAGAGGAACTGTGGAGCTCTGTCAGAGTGACCATCGGGTTCTTGGTCACCTCCCTGACCAAGGCCCTTCTCTCCCTATTGCTCAGTTTGGCCGGGTGGCCAACTCTAGGAAGAGTCTTGGTGGTTCCAAACTTCTTCCTTTTAAGAATGATGGAGGCCACTGTGTTCTTGGGCTCCTTCAGTGCTGCAGAAATCTTTTGGTACCCTTCCCCAGATCTGTGTCTCGACACAATCCTGTCTCGGAGCTCTACGGGCAATTCCTTCAACCTCATGGCTTGGTTTTTGCTCTGACATGCACTGTCAACATTTACATTTTTACATTTTAGTCATTTAGCAGACGCTCTTATCCAGAGCGACTTACAGTTAGTGAGTGCATACATTTTTCATACTGGCCCCCCCGTGGGAAACGAACCCACAACCCTGGCGTTGCAAGCGCCATGCTCTACCAACTGAGCTACAGGTCAACTGTGGGACCTTATATAGACAGGTGTGTTCCTTTTCAAATCATGTCCAATCAATTGAAATTACCATAGGTGGACTCCAATCAAGTTGTAGAAACATCTCAAGGATGATCAATGGAAACTGGATGCACCCGAGCTCAATTTCGAGTCTCATAGCAAAGGGTCTGAATACTTATGTAAATAAGGTATTTCTGTTTTTATTTTTAATAAATGTGATGCTAATTAGCATTTTTCAATCTGAGAGTAAATAGAGCCGAATATAATCACCTTGTCCGAGAAAGATTTAGATGGTTATCAAAACGTCACGCTAGGGTAAGCCTACACGAAACACAGTCCTTATTTTAAGTGTTTCTGAAATCCCCTATGGGAAAAATGAATGGTGGAAAAACTATTGGAACCATTTCCCTGTTTGACTGACCGCTAGGTTTTATGGGTATTAGGACACCTCCACTGTGGGGCTCTATTGGTGATAATTGTAACCGACTACTTCCAAGAGACTTGGCTAGATGAAAGGACTTACATTGTAAGCATTGGCTAACTCTGTCCCCCCTGACAGTCCAGTTAACCATGGAGTAAGAGGCCTCAGAAAGATGGCAAGTTTTTACAAAGCTAATGTTTATTTTGTCCTGCTCTCTGCTCTGCAATAATGGTGGGTCAGAGTCTCGCTCCACATCTGTGATTTATTTTGGTGTTGGCTGGGAGAGATGGGAGAGATCCACCTCAGAGCTGCAGCCTGACAGACAGACGGACGGACAAAGCTGCACAGGAATCTCAGTCACTTCCCTGTTTACCTATACCCAGCACAGGGGCAAATAACACACACACGCCCCTACACACACACACAGACAGTACACAAATACAAACACATATATCGACAAAACTCCCACACAGACATATATAGGCCTAGACATACACACAAACACGTGCACAGACAGATATAAACACAGACAAATCCACACTGACAGGACTTCCAAATGGTCAACTCCTCCGCCTGCCAGCGTGTGTACTGTGTGTACGTCTGTCTGTCTGTGCGTCCGTCCATGTGTGTGTGTGTGGAGTGAGGCGGAGTCAGTGAAGGCCAGTGTTATCCGAGCAGGGATGAAACACATACCGCAGCCTTGGAAGCACTTCCCTGACACTCCGGCTAGCGTTACAAAACATTTACCCTGCCTCCACCCCCCCAATGGACATTTATCATTGTTACAGTTATAAATATGTATTTTATTATTGTTTCATTCACGTCTCAATTTTCTCCCCTGCTGCTCCCCCTATGGACATTCTACCCCCTCCCCCAGTCTCTTCACTAATTGAAATTAACATTACATTTGATTTAAAATCAAGTCCATGAGTAAAACAAAGTCAACACTAGGAACCTAATTTAGAGTCGACTCCCAGACCCAGCCTGAAACAGTGTTTGGTAAAATCCTATTTTTCCTCTGGTGTCTCCAGACAGGTGTTCCGCCAGTCAAACTGCAGCAAAACAAGGTCACCCCCCCCCCCCCCCCCTCCTCCTCCTCCTCCTCCTCACACACAGATGGTCAAATAAGACTCTCTGTAGGGCCTTTACTCTGGGCCATCAGGGGAGGGGGGAGGGGGGGGGTCTCCCACTGCAGCCCAGAGCCCACCTGAATAAACAGTGGTGTAAAGAGTAGAGTTAAGGATGAGCCTCAGACCAGGTCCTGCCCCTCCCCCCTCCGGACCCCCCTCCCTCCTGACCCTACAGGAAGCCCCTGGGGAGCAGCAGCAGAGAGGAGGGCTTGGGGGACTGACTGACTGACAGGGGGAGAACTGAGGCTCTACTGAGCAGGGAGAGAGGGAGGGAGGGAGGGGGTGAGGAGGGATAGGGAGGAGGGGTCAACAGCTGCTGACCCTTGCTGGGAAAAACTAGGCAGAATTGTCTCAAACAGGAGGCTCTCTCTCTGTCTCTCAGATGCTGACCACAACAGTCCAGCTCTGGTTCCCCTCTCTTCTCCCTCCTCCTCCCAGTTCAGTTCCCCATCCTCCCACGGCCAGAATAGTCCAGCTCTGTGAAAACCAGAGGAGGTGTGAGGCGAGAGGTGGGGATGGGGTAGGGTGGACAATAGGTTCATTTATAAAGCACTGGATTTTCCCCTTCCCTTTACATTTACATTTGAGTCATTTAGCAGACGCTCTTATCCAGAACAACTTATAGAAGTGAGTGCGCACATTTTCGTACTGGTCCCCCATGGGAATCAAACCTACAACTCTGGCGTTGCAAGCGCCATGCTCTACCAACTGAGCCACACGGGATCTTTGATGCTGGGTACATTCAACAGATCCCTTCATTCCATTTAGCCATTTGATTTTCCTACGGTCGGTTTTTGACACCCCTTTTGATGTTGAGGGTGCTGATAATAAAAGTGTTTACAGTACTGCCCATTCTCCCATTTACACAGTGATCTTTGGGGATTCTACTTTGTTTTGATGTTGGAAATAAAGACAATAGAACTGTAATTTTAAATCATATCATCCCATTAACCATCATGTGATTTTCATGGATTTGTTTTGACACCTCTCTTTGATGTGGGAAGGATGTGCAAGTTTGTGCAAGTCTCACTCTCCCCTGGCCCTGATTCTATGGGGGTTTGGTGGCCTGCTGTGCCATTATTGGAGCAGGGGGAGTCCTGATACATTCTGGGAGAGCAGGATGCCAGGTGCATTATGGGAGTGTGGGAGCCCCAGGGTGGGGTGGGGGCTGATCTCACTGGCTGATCTGAGAGCAGTGATTAATCCAAGCCAAAGCCCCGCGGCCACACAGACTAGCTGGTTTGGGCCGCTTTGATTGGCTTATCTGCCTGATGAACTCCACAAGTGAGAGGATCAAAAGATCCGCAGGGTGTGTGGGAGAGAGAACGAGTGAGAGAGAGGGACAGAGAGAGAGAGAGAGAGAGAGAGAGAGGGAAGAGAGAGGGAAGGGAAGGGAGAGAGAGAGAGGGAAGGGAAGGGAGAGAGAGAGAGAGGGAAGGGAAGGGAGAGAGAGCGGGAAGGGAAGGGAGAGAGAGAGCGAAAAAACAAGAGTCTGGTCTGGCACTCTGACACTATACTTCAGTTTCACCATACGCTGCCTCAGAAACAACCGTCTGTTGGAGGAGAAGCCCAGAGAGTAGCCAGCACAGGCCAGGGAATGTTGACAGACGACCCTCTGTTCTAGCATCCTTTCTCTCTCCCCCTCTCTCTCTCCCCCTCTCTCTCTCCCTGTGGCTGCAGTCTCCCCCTCTCTCTCTCCCTGTGGCTGCAGTCTCAGACAGCACCGGCAGAAGAATTCAGTCTGCACTGCCATCCAGCCAGGATCTGCCATGGCAAACAGACCACAAGGTGGGGGGGCAGACAGGGAGCTGGTGAGGTGGGCGATGGGGTTACTTGTGGGCAAACCCTGAGCTACGGTACTCTCCCCTTGTGTCGGTAACGGTGATGTCATCCTGAGCCAGCCCTCTTCCCATCCACCACCCCTCCCTGTCACCTTTTAACAGTAAGCCCTGTGAGTGACAACGCCAGCTGCAGGTTCTACTGCTTTCAGCTGTGCAGCTTTGGAAGATATGCATCTTCCCATCATGCACTGAGCTTCCCGTAGCAACAGGCTGAGAATCAGGCCAAAAAAAGAAGCTCTGCCCGAGCAGAGTAGAGCTACACACAGCCTGCTGAACTAGCGTTCATTTCAAACACCTAACTATAAACCTAGAGGCTTTACAGTAACCGCGAATCAGGCAGACTACTGTAAGAGGCAACGAAAACAACTCTCAAAAATCTACCTCCAACATATCCTAATGTTTGACATGGAGTTTTAGATATTGCCGTTAGAACATTCTCATAAATCAGACGGTAATCAGATGACAGTTACAATGAGCACACTACACAGCCTATTTTGAGGGTCTGATGGGTGACATATAGGGATGACTATTACAAAGACTGAAAGTGATACATAGTGATGGTCCATTTTACAGGAACCTGCTGTGTACTGTTACTACCACAGAAGTGACAGAATTAAAGTGGGTGTTATAGAGGTGTGATACCAACACACAGACATGCTGCAAACTGTCTTTAACGGTAACTGTTGAGACAGAGCCTGAGGGCTTTCTCTCTTGTTTAAGGATGAGTGAGAAGCTAGTAGGGATGTGTATCTTTCCCTTTCAAGACGATTCGATACATGGGCTCCGATACGATACAGGAACGATGCGTTTTAGTTTGAAACAATTCAGTGCAATTCGGTTTGACTAGAGAACGAATCGATGCGATACAGTAACATTTGTTGCATAAACATTAATTTTCCATTCTATATAAAAATCTGCTGCTGATGCTTATGAGCTGGGCCTGTGTGTGTGTGTGTGTGTACCTGATCTTAGCCATAAGGGAGACTAGGCATCTACCACCCCACTACCACTATCAGATTGGGAGGGGGGCAATGTAGTCCATGTTTTTCGTCCCCCCACTTTGGTTTTTAGTAGGCTTGGGCAGTATACTGTATATACCATATACCAGGGTATTTGGAAATAGCCACGGGATGGTTTTTCAATACCGTTGAAACAATCTTTGAAATTGTTCCATACATTTTTATATTTGTAGCTATTTTTTAAGTAAATACCTGCAGTCAACTTGTGCAATATGTTACAAGATAAAGCAGATTGTGTTCTTCATTTCACCGGTCACATTATCTTACATTATGAAGCTTACCGTAGTTCCCCAGGACAATTGAGACAGTTATGGGTTTGTTTGTAAATAGCACAACGGGAGAAAGCAGGAGCAGATGAGCCCAGCTGTGTATTGACAGGGGTCACGTTTTATATAGAAAGTCGTGATTTTTTGCTTCAATAGAGTGATCAGGGACGTGCAACTATAGTTTTCCTTCCCCTGTAACTATTCCCCAGGTCGTTGTTGTAAATGAGAACGTGTTCTCAGTCAACTTACCTGGTAAAATATGGGTAAAATCTAAAATCTAAAATAATAATGTAAAAGTGGAATTATGTTTTTGGAAATGTATTAAAAATGAAAAGCTGAAATGTCAATAAGTATTCAACCCCTTTGCTATGGTAAGCCTAAATAAGTTCAGGAGTAAAAATGTGCTTAACAAGTCATATAAGATCCGCATGGACTCATTATGTGTGCAATAATAGTGTTTAACATGATTTTGGAATGACTACCCCATCTCTATACCTGCCACATACAATTATCTGTAAGGTCCCTCAGTCGAGTAGTGAATTTCAAACACAGATTCAACCACAAAGACCAGGGAGGTTTTCCAATGCCTCGCAAAGATGGGTACATATTTTAAAAAACATTTAAAAAGAATAACAGACATTGAATATCCCTTTGAGCATGGTGAAGTTATTAATTACACTTTGGATGGTGTATCAATACACCCAGTCACTACAAAGATACAGGCGTCTTTCTTAACTCAGTTCCCGGAGAGGAAGGAAACCACTCAGGGATTTCACCATGAGGCCAATGGTGACTTTAAAACAGTTACAGAGTTTAATGGCTGGGATGGGAGAAAACTGAGGATGGATCAACACCATTGCAGTTACTCCACAATGTTAACCTAAATGACAGAGTGAAAAGAAGGAAGCCTGTACAGAATACAAATATTCCAAAACCTGCATCCTGTTTGCAACATGGCACTAAAGTAAAACTGCAAAAAATTGGCTAAGAAATTAACTTTATGTCCAGAATACAAAGCGTTATGTTTGGGGAAAATCCAACACAACACATCACTGAGTACAACTTCATATTTTCAAGCATGGTGATGGCTACATCATATGCAGGGACATCATCGGCAAGGACTAGGGAGTTTTTTAGGATAAAAATAAATGGAATAGAGCTAAGCACAGGCAAAATCCTGCTTTCCAACAGACACTGGGAGACAAATTCACCTTTCAGCAGGACAATAACCTAAAACACAAGGCCAAATATACACTGGTTGCTTACCAAGATGACATTTTATGTTCCTGAGTGGCCTAGTTAAAGTTTTGACTTAAAATCGGCATGAAAATCTATGGCAAGACTTGAAAATGGCTGTCTAGCAATGATCAACAACCAACTTGACAGAGCTTGAATAATCTTTTAAAGAATAATGTGCAAATATTGTACAATCCAGGTATGCAAAGGTCTTATAGACATACCCAGAAAGTCTCACAGCTGTAATCGCTGCCAAAGCTGTATTGACTCAGGGGACGTGAATACCTGTCGGTTATAAGAAATGATAGCGGATACATTTTGTAAAAATATTTAGGTAAATTAGATATTTCTGTATTTCATTTTCAATAAATGTGCAAAAATTTCTAAAAACATTATTTCACTTTGCCGTTATGGGGTATTGTGTGTAGATAGGTGAGAGAAAATATCTATTTAATCCATTTTGAATTCAGGCTGTAACACAAAATGTGGAATAAGGGGGTATAAATACTTTCTGAAGGCACTGTAGATAACAAAATAACAAATTACATAGGTCGTCACTCAACTAATAAATCGCAAGCCATTTTAGCATTTGAATGCTGAAGGTGCCACTTAGATGTGCGTGATCAGGAACAGGCCGTCTACCTTGCGTTGGTCAGCATGCGAAGTTGAGCACAGTAGGCAGTTTGACTAAGCTTCTGATATCCCCTGGGCAAAATGACTTGTAGATCAATGACTGTCAAAACCGTTACATGCTTAGTTTGACACTGAAGGAGAGGATGCATCAGTTGTCACAAAAGAGGTGGTATTTTTGGAAGGAAGAAAGAAAGTAAGAGCAAAACATTTTAGTGAATCGGCGATTCGTAACATTTGAATAGATTTTCTGACTGACGCATGCTACATTTGAATAGGTTTGGGGTCCGCAGACCGATGCACTCGTATCTTAAACATTTGAATCGGGGTCTGATGCGTATTGGTGAATCGTTACATCCCTAGAAGCTAGAATGTTCCGTAGCCAACATGAGGGGTGAACTGTTGGAGGCTGGAAAACAACCAGGACTGACTTACTCTGTAGGCCAGGCAAGCAGGACAGTGTCACAATTGTGTGTCTGTCTGTCGTGGGTCAGCCACTGGGCTCATAGCTGTGACACACACAGCGGCTCTTCCCAAATAGGGCAGTAAATCTCCTGTGAGATGCCTGCGCAAGCAGTACCTCCAGGCAGAGTTTCACAACTGTAACCAGGATAGAACTCTGGAGCACTAGTCTCAGTGCTCAGCACAGTCAATGCTTCACATCCATTAAAGAGAGGCAATCAATGTACACTACATGACCAAAAGTAAGTGTGAGCTTGGTCCCCCCTTTGCTGCTATAACAGCCTCCACTTTTCTAGGAAGGCTTCCACTAGATGTTGGAACATTGCTTCCATTCAGCCACAAGCGCATTAGTGAGGTCGGGCACTGATGTTGGGCGATTAGGCCTGGCTCGCAGACAGCGTTCCAATTCATCACAAAAGTGTTCGATGGGGTTGAGATCAGGGCTCTGTGCAGGCCAGTCAAGTTCTTCCACACCGATCTCGACAAACCATTTCTGTATGGACATCGCTTTGTGCACGGGGGCATCGTCATGCTGAAACAGGAAAGGGCCTTCTCCAAACTGTTGCCACAAAGTTGGAAGCACAGAATTGTCTAGAATGTCATTGTATGCTGTAGGGTTAAGATTTCCCTTCACTGGAACTAAGGGGCCTAGCCCGAACCATGAAAAACAGCCCCAGAACATTATTCCTCCTCCACCAAACTTTACAGTTGGCACTATGCATTCGGGCAGGTAGCGTTCTCCTGGCATCCGCCAAACCCAGATTTGTCCGTTGGACTGCCAGATGGTGAAGCAATTCATCACTCCAGAGAACGCGTTTCCACTGCTCCAGAGTCCAATGGCGGCGAGCTTTACACTACTCCAGCCGACGCTTGGCATTGCGCATGGTGATCTTAGGCTTGTGTGCGGCTGCTCGGCCATGGAAACCCATTTCATGAAGCTCCCGACGAACAGTTATTGTGCTGACGTTGCTTCCAGAGGCAGTTTGGAACTCGGTAGTGAGTGTTGCAACCGAGGACAGACGATTTTTGCGCAATTCATCGCTTCAGCACTCGGCGGTACCGTTCTGTGAGCTTGTGTGTCCTACTACTTCACGCCTGAGCCGGTGTTGCTCCTAGAAGTTTCCACTTCACAATAACAGCACTTACAGTTGACCGGGGCAGCTCTAGCAGGGCAGAAATTTGATGAACTGACTTGTTGTAACGGTGACATCCTATGACGTGCCACGTTGAACGTCACTGAGCTCTTCAGTAAGGCTTTTTACTGCCAATGTTTGTCTGTGTGCTCGATTTTATACACCTGTCAGCAACGGGTATGGCTGAAATAGCCAAATCCACTATTTTGAAGGAGTGTCCACATACTTTTGTATATATAGTGCATCGCTGACATACTACCGTCATAGCATAGCAATTCAAATAGAATGAGTGTCTCACCAGTAT